GGAAAACCAGAAACATAAGAACCAGAAACAGTGCAACTGCATTTTTAAATCATGTCAGAAAGTTAATCCTTTTGAATGCCACATAGCCAAATGTTTATGATTTACAGCAAATTTAGGAATATGCTTTTCATTTACAGCTTACATGACACATTGATATTAGTGTTAATGACCATTTGCCAAGAGAAATTACAGGCGAGGTTTCAGCATTTTGTCTTACGAAAAAGCTGGCAGTTGTCTGTCAAGCTGCCTTTTACTTTGCTTCTGTTTGAGGGATTTTTTGATGAAGTTTATGATCTGATTCTGTAAGGTTTACAAAACTCCAGTTAAGAGACATTTCTAATAAAAATTCCCCAGAAGGAATGAGGAATGTCTATATCCTTCTCAGCAGAAATCCCTAAAACTGCTCAGTGGCAAAACAAAATAATTAATTCCTGGAGTGTCAGGAATCTTCCAGTATCATTAACCAGAAATAACTGAAGACCAGCATTTTGTGAAGGACCTTTGATTTTTCCTATATTTTGGTAAGCCGGAAGAAAAAGGCTTTTTCCACATAAATAGAATGATCACAGGTTCTGGAAAATTCACCTCATTTGAGATCTGTCAGCCTTATGGATGTCACTGATTACCACGACTACGGACTTACCTGCACAGTTGGTACCTCTCTGGGATGCCAGGACTAACAAAAGCACATTCACTCCCTACAGAGGGTGATGTCACCAGGCCCATCTTCCCAAGTCTACTTCTTCATGGATTCATTTCCACTAGCTCATGGATCACCATTAACCTGAGAACCTCACACTCTCAGTGTTTTCACACTCCCACAACAACAAAAAAAAAGGGCTCCTCTCCTTGTAGCACAATGAGCATGTGGGCAGCTGGAAGCTTCAAGCCACATTCTGAAAGCCAGAGGTCCCCTCAGCAGAACACCTGGTGTTCATCCCAAGCCTCCTAAGTGACCACAACTCAGGCTCAAGAAAATGAGCTCTGTCCATCTCTGTGACAGAATCATAAAATGGCTTGGGTTGGAAAGGACCACAAGTATCATAAAGTTCCATCCCCCCTGCCACAGGCAGGGCCATCAACCTCCAGATCTGGCACTAGACCAGGGTACCCAGGGCCCCATCCAACCTGGTCTTGAACACCTCCAGGAATGGGGTATCCACAGCCTCTCTGGGCAGCTTGTTCCTGCATCCCCACCACTCTCTCTGTGAAGAACTTCCCCCTGACATCCAATCTAAACCTTCTCTCCTTGAACTTAAATCCATTCCCTCTTGACCCTTACTGTCTACCCTTGCAAAAAATTGATTCCCCTCTTTTTTTATAATCCCTTTTGAAATACTGGTAGGCTGCAATGAGGTCTCCTCACAGTCTTCTCTTCTCCAGGCTGAACAAGCCCAGCTCCCTCAGCCTCTTTTCAAAGGAACAGTGCTCCAGCCCTCTGACAATCTTTGTTGCCCTCCTCTGGACCCTCCTTAACAGCTCCACATCTTTCCTGCATTGGGGGCCCCAGATCTGAATGCAGTACTCCAGATGGGGCCTCACGAGGGGGACAGAGTACAGAGGGACAATCCTCCCTGGCCACCCCTCTTCTGATGGAGCCCAGAATACCACTGGCCTTCCAAGCTGCAAGACCGCACTGCTGGCTCATGTTCAGTTTTTCGTCCTTCCCCAGTCTGTATATACATCTGGGATTACTTTGGCCCAAGTGCAAAACTTTGCACTCTGCTTTGCTCAACCTCATTAGGTTCACACAGGCTCACCTTTGGAGCTTGATAAAGTCCCTGTGGATCGCATCTCTTCCTTCTAATGTGTCAGCCACCCCACTCAGCTTGGTGTCATCGGCAAACTTGTTGAGGGTGCAGAAGACACAGAGGCCCTCAGATGAAGGAGAATGCTGCATCAGGAAAGGACTACAGCCTTCTTTTTTTGCATGATGTGGTCACCAGAAAGCAGACCTGAGGTGGGCACCCTCTGCCAGGCAGGAACTGTCCACAATCCTGACAAACACATGCACTGTGGCTCTTCTGATGGGCAAACCTGAAGCATGCTCCTTCTCAGTCAAACCCCATGATTACAGCTTGCTTTGGGCTGTTCTGCCATTCACTCACTGCCACCCTGTACATAGGTGGCCATGCCCCTGTTCAGGTCTCTTCAGATTCAAGAGTTACATAGCACCAGGCACCTCAAAGAGGCTCTCAGAAACATCCCATTTCCTGGTGAGCTCTGCTCTGTAATTGCATAATTACATTCCAAGACAAGAGTGAAATGCTCACATGGCTACATTAACACGAAGAAGAATTCTGCACAAAAAAAAAGAAATGGCTATTTGTTGAGCCACAGATACTACTGGGACATTAAAAACTTCAGGAGAAGGAATTAATAAAAAAAATAAATAAGCCCACTCAGTTGCTATGCGGGCCATGCTTAATTCTGTTGAGAGTCAGATCCAGTCATGTGTGAAAGTAGGGAAGCCTGAAAGCAGCACTGGCCAACACAGGTTGAGGAGGCTGAACACGCTAACAAAGACAGTCACAGAAAACAGCTCCATTAGATGCAATTCTGAACACATAAAGATACCAGTGCAATGGATTCATAAAAACATGGTGCAACTAATGCGTTCCTAACCTTTGCATAAGGGATTGAACCTCTTAAGTATACAGCTGATCCAATCTGAAAGCTTCTTTGTAAATACTTCAGCTGGTTGAAAAGGCAAAAAAGTTGAAAAAGAAACGCAATCTTGAAAAAAGCTTATTATAGAGATACTATAACAACTCGGGGGAAAAAGAGAGGAAAGTGTGACAATACACGTGGAAAAAATACCATCAGTGAAAAAATGGACAATATACTGTAATTATCATCTTTCAACAGTAATAATGTAGCATATTTTATTACTAATGAAAGTAATGTTTCTATGCAATGTGACCAAATACACATTTCAGTGCAACGTAAACATGTTGAGATACAAAACGAGCAAGAAGAAAGCATGCAGACGTCAGTGTTATATTAGACTGCCATAATGTAATGCCCATTGGAAAATTGTTTTTCCTTCCTCTTACTCGCATCCAGGAGTGGCCAAACACTTTCATCCTCTTTTTTTTTTTTTTTTTTTTTTTTTTTTTTTTTTTTTTTTCTCAAGAGGATATTAAGCATATGAGAAAATTTTAGCACAGCTTCCATGTGGTTTTGATATTATCAGAGGTTTAGTTAAGACAATAATTTTTCAAGAGAAAAACTGAAATCTTGAACCTAAGACCGTTTGAGCACTCAACTACTTCTCAGTTATAAAGCTTTCATGAGCCAAACGTAAAAGACATTCCTCAAACAAAATTCTATCTTTCTCGGAGGGCCCTTAGAAAATGCACACAGAATATAATTGGAAGAGTAAGAATTACAAGAGAAAATATATACATACACCTTCTGAATAAAACAAATTTGTCCACAGGAATATTAATTAAGAATACATTTAAATGTTGTTTTGGTATTCTTGGCCTTCTGTTTATTTGATGATCTGCAAATGCTATTTCAGAAGCAGTTTAAAAGTTGACTTAATATCATGATAGAAGCCAAACATCTTAACTACCTTGTAGCCTTCCTGTTTTCATTTTGTGAAAGGACTTTTCTCACATTAAAAAAAGCCTTGCTTCTCATGCAAAGTTCATATTTTAATAAAGCTGGGTTCTGCAACTTGTGTGCTTATGTATGTGCATACTTACATGTGTGAAAACTAAAAATCCACCCAAAGGGAACTACTGAAGTTTATAGAAATCACATCCCAAAATGGTCTTTTAATATACTACTAGAAAATGTATTTATTCTTATTACAATTACCTCATATGTGTATGGCAAGGAGAATTCTGAGCTTTTAGAAACTGTGAACACTAACCTGCCACCCAAAATAAAAACAAGTTTGTGCAACCTACTGTCAGCAGTGTAAAACAGAGAACACCAAATACTGCATTAAAAATCATTATTTCAAACAAACACTTCAGTGTTGTGAACTCAGTTCTTCTCAAAGGATTTCTAGAGCAAGAATGTCCTGTTAAAATGTATTTGTTGTAAAAATCATCCTTCTAAATCAGCCTCTTTCCCTTCCCTTGTAGGAGTGCAACATCTCTTCCCTCTGCAGCCAGCAAAGATTCACATGTGGATTTTAACTTGTTAGCACATGTGAAGTGACTGCCACTGTTTAAAATGTGTTTACAAGTGAAAAAAAATAAGGAAAAAAAAAGAAAATAGAAAGTGGCTTCCATTGCAACATGAATACTTCATCTCTTTAGTAGAGGAACTGAGCAGTTTGCCTCTAACACTGAACCACACAACTTTATGTGCAATTACTAGGAGCTGAATTACTTAACCAAGCATTTTTATTTAATATACCATTTATTCTCTTTTCATTTTGGAGGAGAAAAGTAAAGCAATTTTAAAACAGCTGTGCTAAAAGGCTACTTTGAAAACTTGTTATCCAGAGCTAAATACCAGATTTCTTTTTAAGCTTACTATTGTCCAATCTTTCCTCGTCATCTCAAGTTCACAGTGTGTCACTGTCTTATAATGCCTCTCTGTTCCCAAAAAACTGTAAACACATCTGAGGAAACTTCCTTCACTACCACCCGTCTCGTTCCTTTCTGAGCATTATTGCTGTGTCTCCAATACTTTACACTTGGTTATTAAAATGCTAACAGTTTTCAGCAACTCTGTGTTTTAATACCCACTGAGGTTGTGCATGAGTACAGTAATTTGCCTTTATGATAAACTGAAAGATTGTAAATGAAATTACACAACTCAAACATTAGTTACATTGCAATAGTACGTAGTAACAGTAGAAACTCAAACTCTAATATGGTACTTGAGGAAATAATGGAAAAACTTAAAGTATGTTGCTATAAATTAACTCAATACCTAAATATAGCATTTGTGCCTCAAAAGCCTCTATAGAACACTGATATTTCACTGGAACCAGGTCCTCAGTGACCACAGAGAAAGATACAGTCATTACTTACTGGTTTAGCGTTACGTCCAGGATGAAGGATGACCCAAAAGCATCAACCTGGAAGCTGGCTCGAGCAATGTGGGTAGACTGCAAAACGGAAGAGAGAGGAATTGGTATTCAGCTACAACACAATATACCATACAAGTGTCTGAATACAGAAAGTAATTATATTTACAAAGCAACAATACCAACCAAAGAAAACTACACTGAAATAGACACAGTATCTACCAGAGTGAATAACTGCTTTTTGGCTGAACTTTGAGGTTTGTTCAAGAATTCCCAACAACGCAACCAGCTCTGCCATAATTATGTGCCCTCCACATTAACACACCAACACTGTAGGAAATAACTCTTCCCTTCCAACTTCCACCTCAGGCAAAACCCTGAACAAATACAAACGGGAAATTTCCTCTGGATGATGTACTCCTCATTGATCAGTCTGGCTCTGACCCATAGTGATGAGCTGAGACATGCCCAGTTTGTTCAGGCCAGGCTGTGTGCACCAGTCTCACCAATGTTATCCAGAAGAAGCTGATATTTCAGATAAGTTCCCAGTAAAGCTCATGTAGTAAGGTGATAGCAGTGAGATAAACTCTGATTAACTGTATTTTTTGTAAAGCTGTGACTCACTCCCCTGAAGCCCATCTGAACCAAAAGGTTCCCAAAACTCCAACCAAACAAAACTTGGTGCTAGGGAAACATCTCTTCCTTTATTCCTCTCTCTCTTTGCAATGCATTTCCCTGAATTAATTGCTTCTATTCACTCCCATACCAAACAAATACAGGAATACTTTGTAAATCGCAATCTTCAAGAAATATATTTATTCCAGTACCAGTGAAAGAAAACACTGAGTTATCCGATGGAAATGCAACGCTTGTTTCCAGACCTTAAAACTCCCAAGAAACTGAACAGCGATGTTATTTAACTAATTAGTAAGAAAAGCTACTTTCAGACATGTTGGAGCAGTTTCAATTTGTTCTTTACTTTCTTTCCATTGAAATCTACCCATTAAGATTTGAAGCATGTAGACTGAGGGATCTAAAAGAAGCACTGAACGACCACTTACAACTCTATACCACACTTCTCAAAGAAGTACAACACAGGACAGTACAACTGCAACAAATGATTTATTGAAAAGTCTGGGAAACACAGGACAGGATGGGATAATATGAATCATCAAATTCACTCTCTCTAAAACTACTGGCAGGCTTTCAATAGGCATTAAATCCAGAAGAGTTGAGAATACCAGTTTGTCTGGAAAGGAACAGTAACAGACATGGGAAACTGAGGGAATCATTATTTTTTAATGATATTTTTGAATTGCCCTATAGCCAAATTTTCTTGTTATTGTAGAAGCAAAGTTCTAGCGATTAAAAAAAAAAAGTAACAACAGTGAATAAGTATTTGCAAACAGTTGATCTCTTTAAAAAAAAAGTCACAAAAGTTTTTCTCAATAGAGGATACCTAGGCTGCAAATGCTCTACAAGAACGCCTCACTGTGCCACTATAGTGAATGTGCATACATGAAAAATTTCAGGTATTTAAACTGTGGTTTAGAAGGATGCAGTATTAAACTGTAAAGCTTCTTGGAAGACCTCTTAGTAGATACAATTCTGTCACATATAATTTCAGCTATCCCCATTCTATCTAACCTTCTTTGTATCACATGCCATGGAACTTTACTGAGCAGTTCTTGTAGTTCTTGAATGATCTAAGAGCACCTCTTTTGAAAAAATGTATAATCTTTGACCAAGTAAGTGAATGTGTCATACACTTTATCTTATCCAAGCAAAATATTTCAGTGATGAATTACCATCAATATTAAAAATCTACTTTCTAGATGTATAGTAAAAAATAAAAAGAAAGAAGGAAAAGAAGGAAATTTCTTCATATCACCAGTTTCTGAATCCCTTAATTGGAATTAAGCTACTCCCAGATGATTGTGAGGCACAGTACCCATGGCAACATGGACACCCTCCCATGTAGAGGCACCACAGGACCACTGCTTTGCTGATCCCACCCAGAGGCAGCCAGCCCATAGTTAGCTCAACCACAGCCACAACTAAAAGAACTGTCAACAAATTATCTTGTTAGCATTGGCATCTCTCTTCCAACTCTCAGGCAGCAGAGTTTGCTTTGAAAATGGTTTTGAAACTCCTCCTCTTGCTAGATTTGAATGATGAGGCTGCTGCTCACAAAACAGGACATGACAGGCCAAGGACTGCAAAACACAGTGTGGGCCAATGCTGGTTTAGTCATTCAAATGTTCCACTGCAGCATGTTTGCTAACCCTAGATAACCTTCATTTACCTACTTGCTCAGTAACAACCACCTTATGATCATAGGAATAACACCAGCACAGCTGCTTACTTTTCATTGCTGCTTTATTAAATGTAAAGAACTTTATTATTTGCTAACTTTATTATTTGTTAGCTACATTTGCCATCATTCTGATATATGTATGCACTATAACTAAATCTTCTATATCACCAAATGCTGATACTGAAGAATATAAAAAGCATAATTTAAATCTGTACATAGCACATGTAGCCTTTGTGACAAAAAGCATACTCATCTATGCTAGTTTCATATAAGAATATAACTCTAAGAACAAAGATGCCTGGGGATTTGGGGTGTTTGGTGATTTTTTATTACTGTTTGTTTGAGGTTTGTTTCCTTCTTTGTTTTTATACTACTAGGTATATTGCATCATATTGATTTGTTCTGGGAAGTTTCTTCCCCTGGACAGGTCTATCAGACATGCAATTGCAAGCCTAATGTACTTCAGAGGTGACCCTGGACCACACTTACTGTCTGATAGAAGTTCTTAATGCAGATTTATGGGAGAAAGTGCCTATTAATAAATTAGAATGAAAAACTTTAAACAGATGTTGCTACCCCCAAAGCAAGTGGTGCAAACCCATGAAACTCACCATTAAGTTTACACTAACACACAGTCAAGTGTATCTCAAGTGTATTTCATACCAACTGAGATGCAAAGATGCACATTTTTGATCCTGAGACAAATTCAGCCCTTTTCAGAAATGGCAGTCTTTACAGATGCAAAGAATCCTTCAATCTCAGCTGCGGTTCTGCATGCAGTCCTGCCTCCTCCCTGCTCCCCCTTGCCAGCTGTGTGACTGCCCAAATTCAGATCAGTGTCAGAAAATTAATTGTAACTTGGAGTGGATCAGTTTTCTGCCGGACAAATAAGCTGATCCAAATAAAATACAAAGCCACAGCATGCCCAGATGCGATGGGAAGGAGCTGGAGGGGACATGCAGCCAGCGAGCACAGAGGAAGACAGATCCCCCTCTTCAATGACAGCTAACAGATCTCATTCAGCATAGCAAAAATCTGCACCTTAACAGTAATAGACAGAACACTTTTTAGGATAACTGTTCTACCGAATATCTGGTAAAGAGCCACGAAAAATATAAATGATTTTTTAATCTTGGCTCTACAGTATCTTTAAGTACATCAATACGCCTGCTCAGCAAATGGTAAAATGGCCAGCTGGAAGGGACGCCAGGTTCATAGAAAATGAAAAGTAAAAGAATCCATAGAAAGAAAATCAGGGTGCATCTCTGACATTTCGTTTGAGCAGAAGTAATAAGAAAGACACCTTCAAAGGCTCCTCTGAACCACTGAAGCAAGACAATCAATTACATCATCCTGTTCTCAAACCACAGAACTTTCTCAGAAAACTCTGAGGCTTTTTTAGCAGCCGTGGCTATGACACATCGGTGCCTGAAAATCGAGTCATTACAAGGGAGCTCCTGGAGACCAGGAGAGATGCACTCAGTGCAGAACATGAACAAGAGCCAGGGAAGAAGGCTCCAGTAGTGCAATGGGAGAGCACAGTGCCTGTGCCTTAAAACAATCAAAAAGTTCTGAAATTTTAATGTCATGCAACCAAAGAAAGGAAATATCAAAACCGACTCCCAAAAGAGTATCTTCAGATGGAATTTGAAGTGCTACATAAGGTGTACTACTCCACAGGCTCCCCTTATAAAAATACTAAGCATCTGATGCATCGAATGCAACTGCGTGGGAGCTGGCTTTGTCAAAGATCACAAAGTTTAAGCATTTCAATGAAGGTCTGAAAGGAGTCAAAAGTCAGTGGAGTGGAAAGGACTATTCCAAACCATTAATGCAAAGATATTTTATCTAAAACAAATATTAAGACTTGACCTCTAGAAAAACAAAAGTGGTACACAAATCTTACTGCCAAAACAAGAGGGATGTGATTATACTAAATCTCATGATCTGTGCTTTAGGGAGCACAGCAGTAATAAAGGAGTTGGGCAATCAGTGCTGTGCATGAGCGTTCTAAAGAAACACAACAAAATAATGACAATTCCCACATAGTCCCTCCAGAACCAGCCTTCCTCGCAAACCGGCCCTGAGCACCTCCAGGGGGGAATACATGTACATAAACTGCAACCAAAGCACAGGACTGCAGCTCACTGGTGAGACTCGTTGCACTATTCTGAAGTTAACCCTCAATACAAAGCATTCAGAAGACTGATTTCAAACTGAGCAAATGTTTCGATCAGCAGTGAAAGGTTTACAAGCTACACATTTTCTTAACAATCACATTAACAAGAATTTTGAAAGGAGACGTTTTAGAAATGTTCTCATGTTCACTATAATTAGTTGGATGTTGGAATTGGCATGCCAACATAATGACTAACATTTTTCCTCATTAAAATAAAGAAAAAGAGAATTAAAAATACACTGTGACTGAAGTGTGAACTTCCTAATAATGCATCTTTTTTCCTTCTGAATTATCCTGCATAAAGCTCTTAGATGCTTTTCCTAAGTTTTGCTGGAAGAGATAACAAGAATTTCTACCAAGAGAGAAGAATGTCTTCTCTATTTAAAAAATATATATATACGAGAAAACCCAATGCAATTTTATGCTCACTCTTTGATGTAAGGAATTTTGTATTCACTACTATTGATATAACATTGTGGTTTGTAATTAAAAGATTGTGATCAAATTGTACACTCAAAAGAAAAGCATCAAGAGAATCAAGAAAGCTATACAGAATGTTGTGGAAAGAGAGAAGTTAAAAC